GGCTCAGGTTATGATCTCAGGGTTGTGAGATCGAGCCCCATATCAGCTCTGTGCTGGGCGTGCAGCCTGCTTAAGATTCTCTCTCTCCCTCTCCCTCTGCCCTTTCCCCCCACTTGGGCCAGTGCGCGCTCTCTCTCTTTCTCTCAAATAAGTACATAAATAGCTCATGGATTCCTGAGTTCAGGGCTGACCCATACCAATAAACCCTGTGGAAAAGAGTGATTTCATACATAGGTCTTTGTCAATAAAGAGCCGCCTTTGTGGGGCAGTTTTAATGGCTTGTTATCCCGATGAATGTTCCAGAAGGAGTACACTGCATCTTGGTAGAATCTTACCAGTTTCTTCATTCATTCAAAAATATTTGAGTATCTACTATGTGTCATGCCCTGTTTCTAGGTGCTGGGGATAGAGGGGTGAACCCCACCAACAAAGACCCCACCCAAGCAGAACTGCCTTTAGTAGAGATCCCTGATAAATGAGTAAACAAAGAGAGGTGCGAAGCCCTGTTATTTCTAACCCCACATTTGACCGTTCCACTTAATCTTCTTGAGATCAGATTGTCTTCATGGTTTTTTTCTCTTGGGTGCCTACCGCTGCTGGGGTTTCAAAGGGCCATGCCTGTGTTGTCCCCTAGGCTGGAATGGCCTCTTCTGCCTCCCCCAGACTCCTATTCATCTTTCTCCTCGGATCTCCATTGCCAGGTTCTGCCCTATGCCAGCATAGCTAAACACCCACACATTACGATGTCCTGCTTCTGTGGACATGCCTGAACCCCCTCCTGGACTCTGAACACTTTAATGAGAGCATCTGTGTCTGATTTATCTTTATGTCTCCAGGGCCTAGCATGCAGCCTTGTGTGCAGATGCTCAGTGCGTTTGCTGGAGGAAATGCTGGGTCCCACCGCACCTGGTGGTAGGTGGTGGTATTACAGAAATCACTTCAAGGGGAGGGATGCTGAGTCTGGGAGGGGATGCTTTGCTCCAGCAGTCCTGTGATTCTCTGACAAGTTCAGCATGAGCCCTGCCATGACCAGAGAACACCGGCTAGGATATGGGCAGTGATGAGTGAAGAGAGGTGGTACGGAACATTCTGATGGGTGTTTGAGGGAAAGTGAGAAATGGGAAGCTCTGAGGTTCTAGGACTGAGCTGGAAGGAATAGTGAAGATGCAGGCTTTTCCAGCTGTCGTCCACCTAGGGTCCAGAGAGCCTGTGGCTTGACCTAGTTCTGACACTTAACTGCAAATCAGGTGGGGGAACCAGGCTACTGAGTTCAGAAGGCTTTCCACTATGTGGGGACTCTGGTGACAGCTAAGGAAGCAAAGGCATAGAGAGGTGAAGTAACTTGCCCCAGATCACACTGCTTGTAAGTGGGGGAGCCTAAATTCAGATGTGGATCTGTCTGATGACAGATGCCGGCTTGTAACCCCTGAACTACCTGTCTCTTCTAGGGGACTTAAAAACTCAAGCTCTTAACACGTTTTCAGTTCTCCCCTTTGTTAGCTGTAAGACATGATGTGTTTCCTTTCTGTTGAAGTCTGGTTGTGTGCTTTCAGGAAAACATTCACATTCTTCAAATATTAAGATAAAAGACCCTGAATTATTTACTGTGTGCCTATACATGCAGTACATATAAATAACATGAAGAAGTTTTTGGGTTTTCGCTACCATGAAATTTAAGATATTCCTATTTCATTTCTATCATATTCCATGTACAAATAAATATTTCATCCTGTGTTGTAACGAATGAGAATCTAGCCCTTTAAGGTCACAAACCCTAGCTTCACAGTCAATGGATGTAATCAGAGCCCCCTTACCTGTGAAGGTTTTGCACCCTGTTTCTCTAACAACTGTTGACACATGGGCTGGAAAGTGGTTAGATCACTATTTTAGAAATGATTCTTTCTAGACACAGAAAAGTTAAATGACATTGAGTTTCAAAATGAGCTGCTAGAGGAACCAAAAATAGAAGCTTTTCTACTACATACAAGACTCACTGAAATTCCTACCACAGAGACTGCCTGCCAGCACTTGGTAGTCTGAAGTCCCGGTCCTGGACACTTCAGCCTGTTGTAACACCAGAAATGTTTCTGTAGGGGGCAGGGGGGCTGCCAGGGAAAGGCAAAGGCAGGGCCGGCAGGATTGTTTCTAGGTCATTCCCAACCTTGCTGTTATTAACACAGTTTTCTAGGTGGGAGATAATATGCTCATTAAAGTCCGAGTGTTCGTTTACAAATAAAGCCAGAAACCCCAAATGGCTCTATTACATAGATAAATGAGCAGACATAAATGGACTCAATTTTTGTTTTTCATGCTCTCTCATATTCTGTATTCAGGCAAAGGAGTAGGGAAATAAGTAGCTGTTTAAAAATAAAACAGTGTGTTGTTCATTTAACTTTTAAAAGCCACTGACTGGAATTAATAATCAGTGTTTCCATGTAGCACTATACTGATGGAAACCCTGACATTACAGTGAGTGGAGATAAGAGAATGATGTTCTTTATCTCTTCATGTAATCTGACTTTTAAAACGCATCTTAATTCACAAACGTTGAAGAAAGCAAGCAACATTCAAATGGTATACTGAGGGCATTTAAATTCTTAGCACACATGACAAATTCCTGTCTCTTGCCCATCTCCCACCCAAATTGGCTTTTATGGAATGACCTTTGGTACCAACTTACTTTACAATAAAATCTTTCCTGAGTTTTTATTTTGAATTAAAATGGCCTTTTCTGTCAGGTATGGTATTTATAAAAGTTTCCTTGTTGAAAAGCCTATGAATTTTGTGCAAATAACCCAGGCAGGCTCTTAGCTTAGTGGTAACATTTGTGTAGGACTTCTTTGGCTTTATATGATACGTTTATACTCAGTTTATTGGACCCATCCCTGTGAGTACTCTGTGGAATTCACAGTTCGCTGATGAGAGCAGTGTAGAGGGAGGTGTCTTGGCATGGTTCTGGGTACACAGCAGGCGTTCAACATTTTGTTTTAAAAAGGAAGTTAACAAAGAGAACCCAATAGGTTATTTAACTTGTACGAAGTAGCACAGCAAATATAGGGTGATACCAAGCACTGAACTTCTTTTCTCAAAAATTCCATATGCTGTCACTGTTACACTGATATCTTTTCACACTTTTTAAAAAGGTCAAATTAAAAATATTCATTTTACTTAATTGAGGTTAAATTCACATAACATAAAATTAACTAAAGCATACATTTCAGTGGCTTTTAACACATTCACAACATTCTGCATCCATCACCCCTATCTAGTTCAAAAATGTTTTCATTATCCCAGAGGAGACCCCATATCCATTAAGCAGTAACCCCATTCCATCCTCCGCCCAGCTATTGGTAGCTACCAATTTGCTTCCTGTCTCTATAGATTTACCTATTCATTTCACGTAATTGGAATCATACAGTATCTGACTGTGTTAGTCTGTTTGGGCTGCTATAATAGAATATCACAGTTTGGGGGCGCCTGGGTGGCTCAGTTGGTTAAACAACTGCCTTCAGCTCAGGTCTTGATCCTGGAATCCCGGGATCGAGTCCCACATCGGGCTTCCTGCTCAGCAGGGAGTCTGCTTCTCCCTCTGACCCTCTTCCCTCCCATGCTTTCTATCTCTCATTCTCTCTCTCTCTCAAATAAATAAATAAAATCTAAAAAAAAAAAAAAAAAAAGAATATCACAGTTTGGCTGGCTTATCTCCCACCTAGAAAACTGTGTTAATAACAGCAAGGTTGGGAATGACCTATTATTTCTCATATTTCTGGAGCCTAGGAAGTCCAAGATCAAGGCTTGAGCAGATTTGGTGTCTGGTTCATGGATGGCTTTATTCTCACTGTGTCCCCACATGGTAGAAGGGAGCTCTCTGGGGTCTCTTTTATAAGGGCACTAATTACCTCCCAAAGACTTTACCCCCTAATACCATCACACTGGGGGTTAGAATTTCAACATGTGAATTTTGGTGGGGACATAAACATTCAGTCCATTGCAGTGATCTTTGTGTCTGGCTTCTTTCATTAAGCATAATGTTTTCAAGATAAATTTATACTGTAGCATGTATCAATACTTTATGCCTTTTCATGGGTGAATTTTATTCCATTGTAGGAATAGAGCATATTTGGCTTATCCATTCATCAGTTGATGGACATTGAATTGTTTCCATGTTTTGGCAATTGTGAATAGTGCTGCTGTGAATGTTTGTGTTCAAGTATTTGTTTGAATATTTGTTTTCAGTTCTTTGGGGTATAGTTGAATTTTCAGGTAATATGGTAATTCTACGTGTAACTTTTGAGGAGCCACCAAACTGTTTTTTCATAGCGACTGAACCATTTTACATTCCTACCAACAAGGTACAGGTGTTCAGATATCCCCACATCCTTGCCAACACTTGTTATTTCAGGTTTTTGTTTTTTTTTTTACTGTGACCATCCTAGTGGGTATGAAGCGGTATTTCCTTGTGGTTTTGATATGCATTTCCCTGATAAAATATTCAGATTTTTTTTATGTTAGTCACCATGCAGTATTAAGGAGAGTATGTATTGCATGGAGGGAACTGGGTGTTATATGAAAAAAAATTAATCATGGAACACTACATCAAAAACTAATGATGTACTGTATGGTGACTAAACTATTCAGATTTTAATGCATAGAGTTAATCAGAAAGTGAGCTTTGGTAAGACAAAATCAACATCAAAATGGTTGGCTTCATCTGTCTTCAGAAGTTTATGTAGAACTGGCATAAGCTCACCCCTAGGGTGCATGATTCTGGGCTGAAAATAAAGAATAAGTTGCTTGGGATTAGAATAATGTATGTGGATAACAAGAACCCAGTTATCCCCTAAACATTTTTTAAAATACTGCTTAAATTAATGAGGAAAAATAAATTCATCATGTTTTATTTTTGTATCACGTGCCAAAAGATACTTACTTCTTTGCATTGTAGAGCTTCCTTTATATATTATCTTCATGTCTTAATGATCTATTATTTATTTTTGCAGTGTGAGTGAAGATATCCGGGATGGCTCAGGGATCTGGGGATCAAAGAGCAGTGGGAATCGCTGACCCAGAGGAGAGTTCTCCAAATATGATAGTCTACCGAAAAGTAAGGCCTCTCATTAAATGCTAGGGGTGCTGCCTGTGTGTGTGTGTGTGTGTGTGTGTGTGTGTGTGTGTTTTGTGTAGGGTTGACTGATGGTTGACAGCTTGACAAATGTTTTCTGCCTAAACTGCCTTGACTGATAAATGAATATCATTTTCTTCTCATAGCCTCTGATTTTCCAATACTAAAATTCAAGGAACTTAGGTTTGTCATACTTGGAAAAATATGATTTGGTTTTCTTTAAAGATTTTATTTTTAAGTAATCTCTTCACCTAGTGTGGGGCTTGAACTTACAACCCTGAGATCAAGATTTGCATGGTCTACAGACTGAGCCAGCCATGTGCCCCCACTTTGGTTTTCTTTAAATGCAAAGTTTGCCTAAGCAATGCAGAGGGAGATATATTCTCATTTGAGGTAAAAAGCCTTTGTGTAACATTTTGATTGTTTTTGAACCCACAGTAGGTACAAGATCCTGGTCTAGATGCTATGGGAGATAACAGAGGTATGCATGTATTAGATGTCTGCAGTCAGTAGGAGACATAAGATGTACACAAATAACTGTAATAATCTAAGTGTCACTTTCCAAAAAAGAAGTGCAAATAGAGTGTTATATGAAATCAGAGGAGTAGGTGATTACTTCCAGGCTCAGAGGCCAGGTGTGGACTGGTGGAGGGGTGGTCTTTGAACTCCGTTTTAAAGGATGAGTAGGCCTGTTTTATGTGGAAAGCAGAAAAAGGAAGAACAACATTCCAGGTGGTGAGATACGTTCAGCAAAGGGAAGGAGCTGAAGAAGGTGAACAGCATCCAGAACCAGTGAGCTTGGGGGCATAGGTGACTACATGGAGTAATGGAGGTAAGATTTTGGGAAGAGTCTGGATGGAACCAGATTTTAGAATGTTGAATCATAGGCAATTTAATCATGAAAAATTTTGTGCTAGGAGTTGTAAAATCTCTTTGGGATTATGAGTCTTGCCATTGTGTGCCAGATGCATTATTATGAAGGCAGATTCAAGGTCCAGGGCGGCGGGGGGGAGGGGATTGGTATTTCTGTCTCTGTGAGAAAGGTAAGGAGGACACTAATTTAGCAGGGGAAATAACCCTGAGAATTGAGTGGGACTGAGCAAAGGGATTAAAGAGTAAAAATGACTTGGAAACTGAATGAATATAGAATTAGAAGGGGAATAGAGAATCAAAGATGACTGCGTTTTGACCTTGGGTATAGAAAGACACTGATGCCATTAATTCAAATAGGGATATTTGGAAGAATGTCTTAAAGGAAGGAACTATGGCACATAGTTTTATTTGTGCACATGTTGAATTTGAGGGAATAACTGCTTCTTATTAATACACCTTTTTAAGTCTTGCATATGTGTGAAAATTTAACCTAACTATATTACATATTAATAAGGAAAATGAGTCAATGTTCATTCATTTCACTAAATATTTGAGTTGTCTGCTGGGTTCTGTGTATTCTGCAAGACTGTGTTTGATCTCTGCTAATCACATGGGCAAGGTTGAACTAGATATTTCTGGATGATCAATATGGTGAATTTGTCTCTTTCTTTATAGAGACCTCAAACTAATCCTGCTTTGAGTATCAAATTCCTTAATCCTTTGCTTTGTAAGAGAATGCTTAGATAACCCTTCTCTAACAGAGATGCCTATTAAGTTGTAGTAAAGAAAAAAGAGATTAACAGGGCTAACCAATTAGTGAAGCATACTGAATAGAAGGATGTTTATTCATCATTACCTTCTTAACCCACCCCATGCTGGGAAACCCTAATGCCAAGCTCATAGAAATGTGAGCTTTGGAATCACACCTAGGTTAAAATTATTGCAACTCTACTACTTCCTAGTGGTGTGACCTTGAGTTCTGTGAGCTTCAGTTTCTTCATTTTAAAAAGAAGAATAAAAGGTGGGAGGAAGGATAGTACCTTGTGGGGTCATTATGAAGATTCATTTAGATAAAGTAAATGAGGCATTTCACATCTTACTTTGCATGGTTGTGGTCCATAGTGAATGCTCCTTTTTTTTTTTTTTTTATCTTTAGGTCTTATAAAGACAGTGTCATTTGGGGAGGAAATAAATTATAAAATGTATAAATGTTGGTGCTTTTAATAAGTTGACTAAACTATGTTTATACAGTGAGTTGCTTTTTTAAGACACAGGAAAACTACAATTTTTTAAATTTAAATTCAATTATTTTTATGTTGTTTAGGAGATTATAAACCAATGGGTTATTAAAGGTTGGTAGGAAATGTAAAGGTCATGCAACCCAAACACATTTCTACTAGAATGTTTGGTATTATGTTGAAAGGAAAACTTCCTTCAGGTTTGTGGGAACTTGATTTTTACTTTTTAGGTGGTAGGAGGGGACTCTTTTTTGGTTTAATTTAGATACAAAGTTGTCAATTGCTGTAGTTCTTCAGAGATATGACTACTAGCCATTTGGTTTCTATATTGGAAATATATCTTGCTTATTTAATGACAAATTTGTGTGTGGGGTATGCATGTGTTCATGTTATTTGCTGTATTAGTTAATTGCTATAAAAGGGATATTGCATCTGTTCGATCTATTGGAAAGAAGGCATTGCTTAGTATGGGTCTAGGACCTGGAATCATTTAAACCTAGTTCATTTGACTAAATCCTGGTTGCATTTCAACCATGGGTTATTTACTTAGTTCTCTATTCGCAGTGCTGTGGACCAGCCATTGGCTACAACCAATACAACCAATATCGCAGGACACTATCCTCAAGGTGTCAGTAAAGATTAAACCTTGAAACCAAGGTCAATTCAAGACATTTGCTATGGAAGTCCTCTTCTGTAATGGTTTTTTCAAGTTTGTAAACTCTAGAACCAAACCTTTTTTTAGAGGTCTACAACAGAAACTTATATTAAAAATTATGCAAATAGTGCTTTCCTTTTTGTTTTCTTTCTCTTGTTTGTTTCTTACTCATGTCAGATGTTTTTAGTGTGAAGTTTTTGCTCGGACTGTGTTGTGTTGATTCAGATGCTGACATTTAACAAGCCAGATCTAGAGAAATGGAGCTTTTGGGTAAACTTCCGAGTAATAGGTGGAATGATTATGTCCATGATGTTGTTGCGACTTTTAAATGCCATTTAGGATGGTCACCTTCTGACATATGAGTAATGATGGGTGGGTTTCTTAAGCCTACATTCTCAGAATCCTCTTCATTTCCTTTTCATGTTTTCTGTGTCATTAACTGTGAGAAGTTGTACTTTCCCCAAGGCATGGTTTATTTATTGAGTGGAACAGACTTTCTAATTTAGTTTTTCATCCTTCACATTCACATTTTGGATTGGAGGTGTATATGAAAAATGTATTGGTCACATTAAAAATCTATTTAAGAGAAAACCTTAATTATTTATTAAGTCACCCAGACCCTGTTAACCTTTTTTATATTCTTGGATCTGAAAAATCCTGGGTCATTGAATTGCCCAATGTAGGGATGATATTTGAACCTGACTGAACATCAGATCACTTAGGGGTGTTTTAGAAAAATATTGATCCTCAAAGGATCCCCTTCACCAAGATATTTTTGTTTCATAGGTCTGAACTGGATCCTGGGAATCTGTCTTATTTTATTTTTTATTTTAAAAAATTAAAAAAAAGATTTTATTTATTTGAGAGAGAGAGGGAGGGGGCATGAGCAGGGAGGGGGCATGAGCAGGGAGGGGGTGGGGCAGAGGGAGAGGGAGAAGCAGAGTCCCCACTGAACAGGGAGCCTGACACTGGCCAATCCCAGGACCCTGAGATCAGGACCTGAGCTGAAGGCAGACATTTAACCGACTAAGCCACCCAGGCACCCCCTAGGAATCTGAGTTTTAAACTCTAATCAGAAGAATCTGAGTTTGAAACACACTTACTTATCTTTTACAATATCCAGGTAGAGTACACATGGCAAAGTAATGGGGAAGTTGATGTTTTGAAGTGGGTTTTTGATTTTATAATTATTTGTAAATCTCTCAGATGTAGAAGAACCAATCTCCTGTCATAGACTTACAAGTAAGGGATTTTAGTAACACCCTCATTTAGATGAGCAAACTGAAGGATGGAGAGAGTATGTAATTTACATCAGGTTACTCAGCAGTTTCCCAGTGAAGCCATGATTGTGTCCAGGTAGCCTGATTCCCCCTGTTGGTGTCCCTTCCACTACCATGTTATCAACCACAGACTACCACTGCCACATTGTTGGGGCTCAACAGACTTTGGATGAATTAAATAAATGAAAATACTGTGCAGCAGCTCTTTGCTTTTCATGGTTATTCTCAGAGATTTGACTTGGGTTAACTTTGAACATTTGTAAATGCTAAAACTTCCTTCTGCTTGCTGGTGCTCTTGTTTCTCAGGTAAAGATTTTCTAAAATGTTTACTTTCTTTTATAAACTCAGAATTCTTTTGAGTATAAGTAGGTTGCTTGCCGATTTTGTTTAGTTCTCTGAGTGGTGTTAATAATGTCTCTTGAGAAATTTCCAACTTGACTGGTAATTTGATTTGGTAGAACTCTGGGCAATTAGATGGTAGTTGGACAGAGAAAATTGTAGCTTAACTTGACCCAAACTTGGGTCATGAGGCAGTACAGTGTGGTGGAAGATGCCAGACAGGGAGCAGATTGCTCTGGATATCTGGCCCCAGCTCCCACGCTTACTGCTTTGGTTCTCTGGATCGACAACTTCATTTTCCTAAAGCTCTGTTTCTTATTTTGATTTCCTCCTCTCTCCTTTCTTTTCCTCCTTCCTTCCCAGCCACAAAATATTTCTTACACCAAAAGAATATATTCAGTGTCCACATAAAGTAGAAAGAAGCATGATAAAATGAACCCTGTGTACCTAGCAACCCATCAATGTAATAAATAAAATATTACTTTGGCTTCATTTCCTCTTCTGTAAAATGAGGGGATTGGACTAAATATTGTAAACATACTTTTCTGTAATGATTTACCAGTTTCATTCTGTAAGTTTATAATCATTTAGAAGTTA